CTAGCCTGTACTAAGACATGGTGCGTTTCATGTGCGAGGCAGTACGTGAGATCATCAGTCAGATCTGGGATGTGAGGCTGCCGATCCCAGAAGGCAGGATTGCTGACAAGGTATGAAAAGTCAGGATTGGGCGGTGGCATGGCAGCTGCGAGGACAACGCAGATGCAGCATCCTGTGTAGACGTCAACTTGAGAAGCCTCAGGCAGTGGCTCCGTGTCCGTCCCAACATAAATTTTCAGTTCCTGCACGCTACGTCCTGCAAGGTAGGCAACGTAGGCAGCATTGATGTACCTAGGTAAAGGTACGGCATAGAGCCTCCCGTCAACACGGGTGAAGTCAAGAAGCACTATGACCTGATCTGACCATTGAGGGCCGGCAACGTATACAAGTGCTCCTGAGATTGTTTGGGAGGTGACGGCAGTAAGGCTAGGAAATGAGGCAGCCTTGTCAGGATCCCTTTCTTGTCGGACTATCTCTGTGACTTCGCTGGGTGTGGCAGGCAGTGTTGCGGCTATCCTCAGGAATTCTGAAATATAGCCTGGTACAGAGATAACAACCGACACCCAAGCTACAGCAGTTTCGACAGAACCCTCTGAATCAGGATTGGTGGCAGAGAGCGGCCGCCTTACGTCACCTTCTCCAGTGAGCGTCGGCCATGCACCTCCTAGGTTGGCAGCATCTCTAGCAAGGTTGCTGAGAGTCTGCTCATCGGCTGGTCCGTCACTCTTAGGTTCGGCATGCAGCTTGGCAGTCAGAATAGTCGGCTGCGTCGGCCAGGTGGCTGTCAGGGAATCTGTAGAGATGGACTCTCCGCTGGGGAAGAGCTTGACAGCAATGTCATCATGCACTGCCGAACGCCGACGCGGTGGTGTGCGGCTCCTATCAGGAGTGTTGCCGCGTCTATGTTCGTCATGGTCTCCATCTTCTGGTGACCGACGTTCGCCACTACTGTCGCTTTGGTCAGGTTGCATTGCTTCGTCATTATCGGACCCCGGTTCAGCAGATTCATCGCCGTCTCTGCCTCCTGGGGGTTCTGAGTCAGAGTCACCAGAATCGGACTCACTGTCCTCGCTGGAAGTGGGCCGTACATAGCTGACTATGAGCACCTGGCCAGGGGAAACGTGCATCCTGCCCTCGCTGATGTGCACATTGTCGACTTGCAGTTCGAATCCCTCTGGCATGAAAAATGTAAAATCTCGATGGAAATCATTGAACTCGACAATCCCTTCCTCAACGAGTTCAAGATGAATTCCCTGTAAAATCGGCCTGGCATCGACAATGTAGGCCTTCACACTGGGGATGAGCCTACCGGGAGGGATGGGTATGACACTTATTTCTTCGGTGATGCCGACTACGGCTGTGCATGGAAAGCCGTGCAAGCTGACATCCTCAATTTGAGGATTCGCAGGCTGTAGCGTCATGCGGTCCTCCCGGAGACCGTATTCCTCAGCAAGCACCTCCCTCCAGTATCTTGCAGGCCGACGTGGCCAAGAGAGGAGGTGAGCGCCTCGATCTTGCACGGTGCAACAAAAACGCCTTGCAAGTGCTGGTTCTGGCGGTCGAGGGCTTAGCTCCCACCCAAAGGAGCTGAGAAGCATGACAGACAGCATGGCCCCAATTCGACCTGGATCCCACGCGTTGACGACAAAGATGCATCCGGAGGGTTGGATGTCTATCCATTCGTCCTGGCCTATCGGAGCGGGATGCCCAAAGGCATAGACATTGACAGCCTCCGGTACAACAAAGCCAACAGCCCTGCAAATACGTTCCTTGTTGGCTCTCAAGGGGAGATGTGTGGCATACATCCTGCCATCGATGGCAGTGGCATCGATGCACACTACAGGCTCCGCATCACACCACACAGGGAGTGCAATCAGTGTGGCGAAATGTGTGGTAGGCTGCGGTTGCACGACATGTAGCTGCGGCAGCAGGGCCTCCTTGATGTCATCTCTGGCCTCTGCAACCCCATCTAGTGCCCCTTGGACAGTCGCTGGCGCTCGAAGTGCTATGGAGACTACTTCGGGCACATAATCGACTGCTAGTACCACAAATGTTGCATGGATGACATCTGGTCTGGTCCCAGCAGGGGTTTCTTCGGCATTGGCATGAACGCCTGGGCCTGCAGGGTGTGGTGTCATAATGTGTGGCGTCGCAGTCGTGGGCAAGTGCTCTGGCATGTAGTAAGGCACTTGATTACTTGGCTGGTGTGGCAGCCTTTGTCCTGGTGCATGCTGTGGGTTGGCAGGTATCCGCGACTGCTTGATACCTTCAACTGGCTGTTCCAGCACAAATGCAGGGCCTTGCAGGAATGGCGCCCAATCACTGCAAGCTAGCAGTCCCTGATGTCCTGCAGGCGTGCAGCCGGCAGGGCATGAAAGACAACCAAGCAGGAGGGAGCAAAGACGAGCACCTATAGAGGAACCCCAGCTTATTCTTGTAGGACGTCTTGCAACAACATGCTTGACTCTGGGCTTCCAGTTCATGCTAGCGTATCGTGGGCTCCCTGCAGCCCCTAGTGCAATGGCTGGCCCATACCTTCCTGCTGAAAAAGTACCTGCAACAATCCATCCGGCAGGCTTTGTGGCCAATCGCAGTGGCCTACACATGGTCCTGAGCAAACAAAGCGTCAGGAAACCAAAAATTGGCGGACAAATGCCGGCAAAACCCTCACAAAGGAGACATAGGAGGGCGTCATTCAAGAAAGGGACAGGCGAACACCCCTGCGCCACCGATGTGTTTCTTAGGCGCCTGTCTGGTGCAAGAGTGCATGACGCTAGCATTCCTGCAAAAGAGGATTCACTACAATTTTTCTGCAAAATTGGGCTGCAGCCAAAGTTGGCGCATTGTCCCACAGAATCAAACGAGTGCTTGAACCCAAAACCACTGCTGTGATTCGGCTGATGATAAGTAATGGCCTGGGTGGCCGGCGAGGGGAGAATAGAAGTACCACAAACCCAGTGGTATTCTATCTTCCGCGAGGAAGACGAATGCCCTGAGCCAATCGGAACGGCAAAAGACCAATGTCGCCGTTGGCTCTGGCGCGAAGGGACGAATGATGGAGTGGGCAGGAGGACCTGTACAGAAACAGTAATGCCTAAGCCGCTCACTGTTTGTACAGACCTGTCTAGGAGCATATGGTAACCATCGCAAGCTCGCCAACTGGGCACTATAGTGTGAAATGAAACCCCAGCCATTTCACACCAGACGCCTGTAGGGTGAGCTACGAAGGTCACCAAGGTACTCCGACGTTCACCGATGAAGGACATCGAAAGTTGTCCTCCTTCTCCATGTATTAGCTGCCTTCTTCGTCGTCTGAAAGAATCTGTGGCTTTCCTGGAGGCTGCCCAGGCGGTGGCTCCTTTGGCGGTCCAGCATGTAGTTGAGCATCGAATGCTTCCGCAGCACGGCGCTGTTCGAGCTTGGCTGCCACCGATGTGGGCGGATATGGTGCCACTCGATGCTTCATGTGTGGCGAAGTCCCTGATGGTGCCGCCATTGCCTGATTGGCTCTGTCTCCCGTGTTGATCGGCGATGCCACCTGTGCCGTATGCGGTAATGGCGAGCCTTGGTATGGTGGCTTGTGGAATTGCTTCTCCTCGCCTCGATCTGATTTGTGATCCTGGCCCGTGATGCCTGCAGCCTCGGAGGGTGTCGTATGGCCCAGGCCAGGAGGCGCAACCCGTCCTGGCATGTCCGTCGACGCCATAGACCGCTGCGCCGGATCCTGCATGGGATCGAGCCACTGCGGGGGCGGCTGCATCATCCACTGTGGCGGCATCATGTAGTTGGCTCTTGGATCTAGATGATATGCAGCATAATCTCCAAGCGGTGACTGGGCCGTCAAAGGCTTGGGCTGTTGTGGTGCTGCCGCCATGGCTCGCATGAAAATTGCCCTGGGATCTTCGTCTGTTTGCTCCTTCTCCCATTGGCCTGTCATTGTAGCCCACTCGTCGTCGAGTCTGGCTTGTGGCATTTTGGCGTCTCCACCTTCCAATGCCATACTCCGGAGTGTCGCCCTGGCCTGATCCTGAAAGACCAAGGCTTTCTGGAGTTCTTCTGAAATCCTCTCCAAATCTCGACTGTGGCGTGTCTGTTCTTGGATCCATGACTTCTTCATCTTGTCCATGTAGTGACTCCACTGTTGCGTCTTCTCCTCTCGCTGCTGGGTCAATTGACGGACCTTTTGTTCTGCTTTGCGAACAGCATTCAAGTTCTCTTGGACTGTGGGGACGATGCTGTCCTCGAAAGTCATCTCCGCGTCCTTGCCCTTGCCACGACCCTTGTTGGCCTTGCCCCCTTTTGGCACTTGATGGGCATCGTAGTGCGGAAAGGCAATACCTGGGGTATCCTTGCCCTTCTTGTTGGGCCATGAGCCATGCCAGTAGCGCCAGTAGGCAGCCGAGGGCTGCCAGTCGTCGTCCCATTGTCCCTGACCTTGGCCCTGGCCTTGTCCTCTGCCCATTCCGCGACGGAATGGTTGCGAATGATGTCGTAGAAGGGCGTAGAACTGCCGCCTCGATAGTAAATCGCCGGAGCGATAACGTGCCCTGGCTTTTGAGCGGACTTTCCGCTGCCGTCTGTGCCAGCTTGGCGAGGATGGTTTGCCTATGGCTCGTGTTACTCGCTCCTAGCGAGAAAGCGTGTCTTCGACACTGGGGCCTACAATGTTCTCCCGCTGATGGGAGCGATTTGGGCCCTGGTCATAATTAGGGTAACTATACTGAAAACCCCAATTAAGGTACTTGTACCCTTACTTACTAAGTCTCATGATCCTCCCGGTAGACTCAAAGATCCAGCGCAGCGCAAGCAGGATCCTCGAGAGGTCCAGACTGAAAAGCATTGAACACCCATGTGGGTAGTTGTCAGAATTAGGGTCCCTTTTTGGGTACCTTAAGTATTAGGTGCCGTATTATGATAAGGACCCAAAAAGGGACCATAATTTTCACAACCACCCATGTCCTCATCAGCTCTGAAAACCGGAACACAGTCTAACCGAGCACCACCGAAGGAGGCGGCACTGGCGCCGGCATGCCCATCATCATGCCTGTCAGACGGCTGGAAGATTCCAGCTTCGGGGCGCTGCTTCAGATCATAAAGAGTCTAGAATTTATTCTGGTGTAATCAGAAACACTCAGGAATAGTGTTGGCCCCTTTGTTAGAGCTCCAGCGTTTCGGGGTTGGGATCACCGGCTGCACATTGTGCGGGGTGAGTATTGGAAAAATCCGGAAAGGCAGCCGGTATCATCCCAAAACCTTTACAGGGGTCCTTGTCGGAAAACCCCGTTCCAAACCCTAAACCACCGAAACCTCTAAATCCTAAACCCTGAAACCCTAAACCCTTTTCTTTGAGCAGGGACTGCAGTGCACTAAGCCCTGAATCCCTTGAGCCAAGCTTCAAACGCCAGCGCTTATGGCTGAGCACGCGAAGCGTGTTGCACTAAACCCTAAACCCCTTAACCCCTCTTTAAACCCTTTTTGCCACTTGACTTGAACCCTAAACCCTAAATCCTAAACCCAAAACCCTAAACCCTGCCTGCTGCGACGCACCCTAAAGACCGAAACTCGACACCCGAATCCCATTCTCTTCCGGCTCTGGCGTTCGAGGCTTGACTCATGGGCTTAGGGGTTCTTAGGGGTTCTTACGGGTTCTGGGGTGGGGGTTTTGGGGCTTTGGGGGTTTAGGGTTAGGGTGTTTTCTGTTTTGGGGGTTGAGAGGTTTCGACTCTCAAAATCAGTGTAACTAGGGCAAGCCAGATGAGGGTGAGGGGGTCGGCATCGGCAAGGCTTTGAGAGAAGTTTCGATGTTGAGTTTCTTGACACTAATGTAGGAACCTGATTAAGAAACCTTGGGCCTTTATTAGGGATCCTTATATGAATCCTAATCTGGGTTGTGGTTTTGGGGCTCTGAAAAGTATTTATGAATAGGTACCTCTATTGGAACCATAAGGGAAAATAAACAGTTTCCCAAATTGCCACCTAGTAATATATTGGGGGTTATAGGGCCATGGTTTCTGAATCAGGTTCCTACATTACCACTCGGAAATGTCGGGGCAAGTTCTCAAGGCGACAATGGCACTCCCAACTCGAATACTTGGAGGGTCATGGGACTTAGTAAGTAAGGTTATAAGTACCCTAATTGGGGTTAGAAGTATAGTTACCCAGATTATAAGCCTAGTTATTGAGTCCCCTGATCCCTTAAGTAGAAGCAGCTGTCGCTCCGATATTGAGTTAAGGGTCTAGGATAGACAAGCGGACCTTGAAGGGGGTACCCAGAGAGCCCAATACCCCTCAATTAAGGAATACATATAGCTTAAATCATAATATGAAACCCTATTTCCATATTCCTTAATTAAGGGATATTGGGCTCTCTGGGTATGCGTTCGTCGGCCAACACTGTAAGATATGCATATACACACATCACCGCCGGGTGCCTACGCATCACTACTCAGCTTTTGATATGAGTGCAGCGTGGGTTTGGCAGTGACTTGTACTTGGAGGTTCATGGGTAGTTATAAGCGGGGTTATAAGTCCCCTAAGGGTTTTAATTTTGGTTTCCCTACTTATAACCTTACTTATAACTACCCATGAACCTCCAAGTAGGCCCTAAACCCTATACCCCTATAGAATCCCTATAGATCCCGTTAAAGGGACCATTACCCTAACAGCTCTGACCGCTGCTGAGACTTGGATGGGGCCTTGGTCCTAGCAGCGCTCTTCGGGTTTAATCAAAGGGGAAAAGGAGGGACCCCTAATGGGCTATATAATGGGTGTATAATAGCTATATTAAGGGTAAAAACCCAGGGGTCCTTATTAAGGGTCCCTCCTTTTACCCTTGGATTTAAGCGAAATGGAACAAGCGAATTCTAGGCATCAGCTTTAAGTGCTGCACTTGGTCACTTGGTGTTGCTACCTACTCGTTTTGTGAAGCGTCGTGCTGATGCGGTACCCTCGTGTGCGCACAAACATAGCCGACATGGCCAGAAAAGGGAAAGTCTTGGGCCGGGCCTGGCAGATCTTTTGGCTCCTGCGGCTGCTGCAGCTGCTCCTGAAGCTGTAGCTGCTGCGGCTGCTGCTGCTGCTGCTGCTGCTGCAGCTGCGTCTGTTGCTGCATCATCCCGAAGTTCTGTTGCATCGCCAAGGCTTGCTGCTGCATCGGCATCAACATTGGAAACATAGCTTGCGGCTGCGGCTGCAGCGACTGCAACTGCTGGGTAAAAGCGGCGGAGAGCGTGGCAAAGTCCTCGGCGGAAATTTCTGCGACGTGCGCATGAGTTTCAACCGCACAACCCGAAACCCTAGACCTAGGCCACAACCCTCTGCCAGCAGGGTTCGGATCCAAGAGAGCCTGAAGAACTCTGCTAATAGATATACTTATATATATATATATATATGTACTTATGTCTATATGTATATGTATATATGCTTATACTCATAAATCTATCCATCTATCTACCTATCTATCTGTTAATATGGTCACCCCCCCCCCCCAAGATCTACATCCGCCTCTTCCACACAATTCCACAGGTTGCTTCTCTACATTGGTCGACTACTCATATATGCCGAAAACACCGTAAATTCCGATACAATCGTGCTTTACTCCATGTGCATGCAAACCGTGCTGCTACAAGTCGCGGGTTTGATATGTGTAAAAATCTGGCGCCGAATCTCGGCAGCAGATTTATGGTAGTTTATATGTTGGAGAAGCTGAAATGCTGGAGGGCGTGCTATTTTTGTGCAGGTAGTACCAACAAACCTCGTGTTTTTTTGCGTTTTATGGTGTGTTATTTGACGACATTCCTCTAATAATAAAAATACTATTGTCTCTCTTACGAAGACGTCTGTGTGCGTGGGCCATCTCTTTACCGCTGCTCGTGAAGCGTCCGATTCTGATGCGGCCTAATAGCTCTAGCATTTGATTTATGAGTTACGAAACACAAAGAGTTCCTTTCATGTCCTGTCCGTTATATATGAAGGAAGTCGAATATACGGGCGCGTATGTTTTTAAAGCAATACTCCAATAGTTGTTCTTTAGCCTCATAAAACATGGGAAAATTCCCCTGGAGTTGGAAAGTTCATGTGCATATGCGGGCGCACAAGAAGGCTCGTCTGCAGCAAGAAGTAAGAGAGCTTGTTGCAACCTTCCAAACATGAAGCAGGACTAATTACGACTGGCTGCATTGATATGTATCAATCACAAGGCAGGGGCTCCTTAACCTCGTAAAACAAAGTAAGATGGCACTTCATGGAAGAAAGCTCCTCTTTATGTTGTGAGTCGATATTAAAGGCAGCCATGTGCATAGCAATCGCTATCTATTTTTGCGGGTACTCATTTGGGCCATGAGTTTTCATTCGGTATGCTGTCCTATGCCCCGGAGAAGATACCGATCGCTATGTCCATGGCTGTTTCTCTAATTGCTGTCATAGAACGTAGCGGAAAAAAGTAGCTCTATTCAATCTTCAAGCGAAACTCCCCAGATGTGATCAGCAAACAAAGAAAAGCTTGCTTATTGGTATCTTTTATTAAACGGGCAAGAGGCGTAAGACTTGTATCGGTTTCTACACCTCCCTCACATCCTGACAAAGCGATACCGGTCCTTCTGTCTGTGACTGTGGTTTAAACGCTGTCATAGTTCGTATCACAACATGAAAAGGAGCTCTCTTCAGTCTTCGAAGACTACAGGTGACATCGTAGAATTTTCTTCTGGGTTAGCAGGAATCTTCATGTCTCTTGCTTGGTACGTATGAGGATGTCTCATAGGAAACCGAATACGAAGTCTCCATTGTTCCTGATGATAGCAAGAGGCAAACAGTTTCCTGCAGTCTCCAATATGAAATGAATTAAGTTCTAGATAGGCTTGCACTGCTACAGTGTTGGATCTGTAGGCGGTGCAGCTTGCCGAAGAAGGGCCAAACCCATTTTCGAGAAAGCTCCGGTACTGGAGCCACTGCTGCTGGTGCCATAGAGCTACCAACCTCCAAAAACATACATGAAATAAGCTATGCAACGACTAGGCCTTTTTTATACTTACCAAACAAGAGTAATGAAAACCGTTGTTGTTCCAGAAGACACATAAATCATTACTTCCAGTCCTTGACAACGGTTGAAAGCACACACTTATCTTGTGATGCAATATCTCCTGTCCTGGACATCAGAAAACACTGTAATGCTCAAAAAATTCCAAAATTTCTAACCCTGAACTCACGAAACACTGCAATGCTCAAAAATCCAAAAATTCTGGCATCTATGGCCAGGCCGGGGGCAGATTCCTCAAGAGTTTGGAATTTTTTGAGCATAGCAGTGTTTCGTGCGTTTCAATGGTTGGAAAAGTTGATTTTTATTGAGCATTACAATGTTTTGTGCGGTTGAACCGCACCTCGTCCGGGTGGATTTCCATAGCTTCGTGTGCGGCAAGATTTCAATAGGCTTGGAGTCACACTTGATTGTGCACAGCTGCGCACCCATCACATATCGTATGTCCCCCTTCACTAGACCCTCTCATAAACACTCACTGGCTCAAGACTTCGGCTGTGGGAGAACGAGACGGACCAGGCGGTTTTGGTTTTAGGACCAGCATCAGCAGGTTTGGGGGCGGACAAGACACGCGCATCATGAGCATCAGCGGTGTTGCATGGCAGTGCAATAACTGGAGCCGCTACCCCATGACCTCGTTGTTGAGTGGTGCATTAAGCAAACCATGATCAATCTCAAAGACGCTTTCTGACTAGGCGGTTTTGGTTTTAGGACCAGCCCCGAAGCCGACTGATGTTCATGAGGCCACGGCTGATGCTCATGTTTCTACACGTCCTAGAGTTTCCAGATTCCAGATTTGCAGGATAAATTTCCAGATTCCAGATTTCCAGATTTCCAGATTCCAGATTTCCAGATTTGCAGGCTCTAAGATTCCAGATTCCAGATTTCCAGATTTGCAGGCTCTAAGTTTCCAGATTCCAGATTTCTGGAAACCTTAGGGTTTCCAGATTCCAGATTTCTGGAAATTTGGAAACCTTGAGGTGAGCAAATCTGGAAATCTGGAATCTGGAATCTCTGGAAACATAGTGCAAATCTGCTGGAATGGAAATCTGGAAATCTGGAATCTGGAATCTTAGAGTGCAAATCTGGAAATCTGGAATCTGGAATCTCTGGAAACATAGTGCATGCAAATCTGGAATCTGGAAACCTACGTACTGCAGAAAGCCGGAAATCAGGAAATCCAGACTCCGAAAACCTGCAGACGTAGATCTTGGGGGGGGGGCGAGCATATATATATATATATATATATATATATATATATATATATATACATATTTATATTTACATGCGTATATACATGTGTACATATATATGTATATCATGACGACCCCGACAAGCCTTAAACCCTTTTTCATGGGCTTGGATTATGTGTCAGCAGAAACTCCTCAAACCCCTAACCCTGCAACATCCACAGTGCGACAAGCGGGCTTCCGTCCGCTGCCGCTTGGCATCCTTTCCTTGCTGCCTGGCGGATCTGAGCTTCGGGTTTAGGTGCGACCGATAAATCGAGACATGCTTTGGGGGGGTTCTGGGGGTCGAAGGTTTAAGCTGCCGGCGGGTATGGAGGCAAAACTTGTGGGACTTTGTGCTAAAACCCGAAACCCTAAACCCTAAGAGTCTGGCAAGCTCGAAATCATGGAGTGCTAGGGTTCCGGGATGGCTACGATGTGGCGGGAGCTTTGGTTCGAAGCGCAAACTCAGAAAGCAGGCACAGAGTCAGAGCGGGCCTTGCTACAGGGACATCTGCGCTCAGGGGTTTAGGGCCGAAGGTTAAGAAGCTGGTAGGGAAGACTTGACGACAACTGGTCCAACTGCGAATGGAAATGCAACAGGACATGGCTAGGCCCGACAGTTCCGAACCCTCCCAACCAAACCCTTTTTTTGAGGAGGGGGGCTACAGTGCGCATGCCCGCATCTAAAGCCTAAGCCTCTGAACCCCTCGCCCTAAGCCAAGCAAGGTACACTTGGAGGTTCATGGGCAGTTCTAAGTGGGGGGTATAAGTCGAGTAACCACAATTATAACCCATATTAGGGGCTCTGGAGTGGGCCCTCGCACAGTGCTGTCGTGTCTCACAGGGATGGGGTTGTAGAAAGGCATTGTAGAAGTCAAGAATATCCCTTCACTCAGGACCCTTGGAGATTGAATCAATAGACCTTAAACCCTAAACCCTGCAGCTGGGCTCGTAGTGTCAGCCAGCGAGTCCGCCGACGCTCTGAAGCCTAGCCTAAACTTAAACCCTAAACCCTAGACCCTAAACCCTCTCTCTCTCTCTCCCACAACTTTTTGAACCTAGACTGACTTGGTGAATGCCAGCACCCCACTGAGCACAGAACCGAGGACGGACTAGACCCTAAACCCTAAACCCCAAAACCCTGTCTGTCTCTCCCCCTCTCTCTCTCTCTCTATCTCTCTCTCTCTCTCTCTCTCTCTCTCTCTCTCTCTCTCTCTCACAGGCACTCGAAGCGTCACCCCTGGCCCAAGGCCCTCAACCTGAACCATAAACCCTGGGATCCCAATCTCCCAAACCAGGACACGAGGCGTCTCAGTCTCAGGCCCAGGCGATGCATCGGGGAGCTTGATCTAAGGAAGGACGCTTCAGCCGAGGTTCTGTAGACGATACTGGGATGATTATACCATAAATTTACTCAGGAACCCCCAAAATACATAGTAATGGTAATTATCTAGGCCCCTACAGTAGAGTTTGGGGCTTAGGGATGCAGGAGATCTTGGATTTTGGGTGAAGGGATCTACTTGGAGGTTCATGGGTAGTTATAAGTGGGTTTATATAAGTCCCCCTAATATCGGTTATAATTATGGAAACCTTAATTATGCACCCACTTGTATTTACCCTAAACCCTTTTTACACCTGGACTACCCTAAACCCTAATCCCTAAACCCTACAGAACCCTTAAAGGAACCCTAATTGAACCCTATAGAACCCGTGAACTAACCCTAGGCACCCACTTATATCTACCCATGAACCTCCAAGTAGACCCAAAACCCCAATACATGTACCCTGATAGAATCCTTATAGATCCCTTTAAAGGGACCCTTAAAGGAACAGTTGTAGCTACCCATGAACCTCCAAGCAACGAGACCTTGGGAGGGACGTCGCGTGGAGAACTTGGGGTCTGGCAGTTGATCAGAGCACCGGGACATGCATCAGAAGGTTTAGGGTTTCGGTTTAGGGTTTAGGGCTTGGGGCTTCGGGTTTAGGGTTTAGGGCTTAGGGTTTAGGGCCTAAAGTTTAGGGTTTAGGCTCTCGCAACTCGGACTCCACCAGACAAGACCTCGACGAGGCTTGTGTTCGAAGTGGTTTGACTAGTCGGGCTATGAGCTGACGATCAGTCAGAGGGTTAAGGGTGTTGGTTGGAGGGCCAGAGTCAATGTTCATAGTTAGAATAGGTTTGGGGAGCTCATTATACAAAAACTTATAATATGGAAGCCCCAAAAATGTAATTATTTAGACCCCTATATCGCACCGAAAGCAAAGCTCCATGAAGTAACCAAGCTGCCACAACCGTGAACTGACTCCTACTTGACCCGAAAGGTACTTACTCCCTCTTGGCATATGCACTGACCAGATAATATACCCCAGATATTCCCGTTGCACATGTGAAGTGCCCCCTGAGCCCTCAGACAAGTTGTAGCAATCACAAGACAAAACCAAGAACCAATGTAAGCACAAGCTGATAGTATCTATAAACATACAAGGAACAACAACACACAAACCGGTAGAGCCAAATTAAGCAGCTCTTGAGTATAGACAAGCAGCATCAGTCGTTACGAAAGAAGATCAAAGTGCTGGGCTTCGAACATCCTGGAGGCCCTTGTGTACGACTTTGCCTTTGCCGCCCTTGCCGTCTTTGCCGCCTTTGCCGTCTTTGCCGCCTTTCCCGGCTTTGCCTCCTTTGCCGCCCTTGGGTGACTTTGCCTGGGGATGTCATGGGTCCGGCTTTGGAGCTTACATAGTGACAAGAAAGTTTGCGGGGACAGCATAATATGGCATAATTATATGACCGTAAAGCGTCAGTAAGGTTGAAACTGTAAAGTTCACCCGAGAGACTTTCAAAAATCACGGAGGCACCGCTGCAGGTCTAAGATCATCATACTGCAACATACGCCTCATACGCCTCGACCTTCTTCTAGTTATGCAGGCGTCGGGGTCTAATGTCCATCCCGCAAACTGTGAACCGAGTCTCCCGATCAGCCTGAGACGCGCAGCACCTGAAATCCTTCTCAGGTCAATCTACGACGGCTACGGTTTCGGAATAGGGAGCATCGGGGTCTCCTGTCGTTTGACATGCGCCAGCGTTCCGGCAAAACTTCGAAACAATGCCTTCTCTCCGAACTACAGCATGGGTTCACCGGAAGACGCTCAAACTAAGACAACCCCGGGGCGCAGAACGGGTTCCCACATAAGGAACTTGAATCCCAAACCCTGCAAACCCTAAACCCCATGACGACCGAGAGTCAAGACTAGCGTGACTAGCGAATTAAAGCTACCGGACTATCCTAAGTGCTCAAGCGATCTCAAGTGGACCAGTGAGCCTGGAAAAAATGTTCAGGGTTTACGCTCTCACCACTGGGACATGTTTAGGGTTTAGGGTTTGGGGTTCAACACTCTCCCATCCAACCGGACAAGTAGCAAAGCAAGAGACACTCCAAACCCTTCTGCAAGCTTACTACAGGGTGTCTGAGTAATTGGTGATACTGTTGCCCTAATTTATAGCCATTGACTCAGTCTGCTCCAGCGTACAAATATCTATTCCACCCCTGACTGACCCTGCACTAAACCCTAAAGCCACAAACCCTAAACTCTGAAGCCTAAACCCCAAAGCCTAAACCCCAGAATTAGAACCTGAATAGCCTCGAAGTCGGCGTTGGCCCCGGCAAGGCCGTCCTCCTCCAACTTCGGCCTCTGAACGCGGCTCGGGTCTCTAGGGCCTTTTGTTGTGGGCTCCTTTTCTCGCTGCTGTTACGAGCCTAGGGTGTTCGGGTCTAGGGGTTTAGGAGGTTAGGGTTCCTTGAAAAAGTGGAGCAAGGCTTGCGGCAATATGCTGGTATATCCGTAGCACGACTACAAGGGGAGGTTGTTATTAGCAGGATTTCATACGAAAGGATATTCATCATCACTGGTAATTCAGACCTGCATATTCGGTCGCCGAGGGTGTTGGTTTAGGCTTAGATCGAGAGCTCCGGGCCTGAACCAGCATGCGCTTTCTGGAGGTTTTCGGTTCATGTGGGAGTTTCCGATTGTAGGGGCCAAATATAGTACCCTAAATAGTAGAATCCTTATTATAGGGATCCGCAGGATAAGGTACCCCTAATTCTGGGAAACTCCAATTTCGAGTTCTGCCGTAGGATCCAATGCTGAGGGTAACTTTGGCGACCTTGGTTGGGCCATCGTCTGCACACACCACCGTCCGGCTGCTTTGTGTTGTGCTGTTGGTGTGTCGTCTTCACTGCTACTCGAACTCTCGATACTGTTCTGGCTGTTTGTTCTCTGACCCTAAACCCTAAACCCTTTTTGAAACCGGACTTGATGACTGCCAGCACCCTAAACCCTGAACCCTAAACTAAACCCTGAACCCTAAACTAAACCCTAAACCCTAAACCCTGAACCCTAAACCCTAAACCCTAAACTAAACCCTAAACCCTGAACCCTAAACCCTCAATCCTGAACCCTAAATCCTCAACCCTAAACCCTCCTGAACCCTAAAGGAGTCGGAGCCTCGCTTCCTTGTCCTTGTCGTCATCATCGCCTCGACGATGGTCGTCGTCTTTGCCGTGCCTGCCGCGATCTCGCTGATCGTCCTGGTGGACACCGGTGAAGGCTTTAGGGTTTAGGGTTTAGGGGCTTAGGGTTTAGGGGCTTAGGGTTTTGGGTTTAGGGTTTAGGGGTTGAGGGGTTTAGGGGTTTAGGGTTTAGGGATTGGATCTCTATCTCCCCCGGCTGAAATGCAGTCCTTGCGGTCATCTCTTCGGTCATCCCTGCGATTCTCCCGCCGGTCATCTCGGCGGTCGTCGCGACGGCCCGTGAATCGGCCTGCACGGTGCAAGCTGTGAAAGCCACATTGACATTGAAAGCAAAGCGCGGAGAAGCCAAAGCACGACCAACTCAGCAAATTGCAAGCTTGCATCTTTGGAAAGGAAAGAATACCTACAGGTTTGGAGAGTACCGGGACGGCCAACATCGGTTCGGCACAGTAGCGGGGCTTCACATGTCGACTACATTGGGGGCTCCGGCGTACTGTTCCGGACCCAAGTCACGGCGATGTTTTGCCACGTAAAATAACTTAATCCAAAGCGCTACGGCTGCATAGGTAGCCCAACGGTCCAAATGTTGGACTTGCCTTCGATCCCTGATCTCCTGTCACAACGACATCACGGCCACGACGACTGCAACCACCACCGCTACCACCATAGAGGCAACATATCTTGAAATCGCAAGGGCCCTAGTTTAGTACGCAGGTCGCAGCCTTCCAACAACAGCATCAATTGCAAACACCCTAAACCCTGAATAACCCTGAACCCTGTTGCTGAACCCCGCATCGAGTGATGTCTACGGAGAACGTTCGGGAGCTTCGTGCACACCGCAAAATGCCCTGCCTCAGTGCCTGTGAGAAACCCTAGAACCCGCAGCTCACAAAATGGCGACCTTGAATCAAACCTTTAACCATGGGCCGTAACATGAGGACTCTGGTTCATGGGAACTCCAAACCGAGGGCTTGTCATGACACAAAGCCTTTGAGAACTCGCCAAACCCGAGACTTTGAAGCTAAACCCAGTCCTTCACCCTCACGCGTAAACGGGTCTAAGCTCGAATAATCCCTACAACCCTAAACCTTGAATCCATCAACCCCGAGCCCTTACACTGCGCCACAACCCCTGTGTGAGCCAGATGTAGACCACAAACAGTGGCCCGAAACATCAAAGTTGCTCAAAGCTCTAGAGCCTAAAGCCTAAACCCAACCCTTAAACTCTAAAACCTTCTAAACCCTAAACCAAACCCCTAAACCCTTTTTTGCCACTGGACTCAAGTCTAGCCAGTTTAAGACCCCTAAACCCTAAAACCGAAACCCTGAACCCAACCCCTAAACTCCTCACAAAGAAATCATTTGGGCCTTCCTGCCGCCTCGCGGGCCTTGCGCTCAAGCTGGGGGTGAGAGTCATGTTGTCGGGCGTGTTCAATCGGCCCGCGGTTCGGTCTGTATATTATGGAACACAAAGGGTTGAGGGTTTAGGGTTTTAGAGTTCAGGGTTTAGGGGTTTAGGTTTTAGGGCTATAGAATTGCACAACATGAACATTGCAAATGTAGCAGGACAAAGTACCCGTCACCTGCAACCGAAGCAAGTGGAGGGGACACAATGACCCATACCCATAGGCCCCATGGTAGTTCCTTTTTGGGCTTCATGTTTAGAATGCATAAGGTAATCCCGAAAAGGAGCTACTATGGGGCCTTTGGGTAGACCAAAGCTCTGAACCCCAAATCCTTGCGTGCCGTGTATCGGAAGCATCCCTGCCTAGCCAAATCCACACGTCAGAAACCTGACATAGGCGCCTTAGAGTTTGGGTATACGGTATACTTTTTACTACGGGCATAGCAAGGAACTCTGAGGAATACGGGTACTAATTACTCAGGCCCCTGTTGAAGAAGGGGTTCGCCTTAGGATGCTGAACACCGATTCCAAAACCCTCTGCTACTGGGCAGTGCACCTCCGCGAGCGGCTCCGTCGGGGCGACCGACGCGGACGGCGATGTCTCGGCAAGTTTTGTAGCTAAACCCTAAAACCCAAGCCCTGAACCCTAAGCCCTATAGATCCCTTATAGACCCCTTTCAGGAACCCCAAGGCATGTCTGTTGCAGTTCTGCTCGAACCTAGGCTGAGCATGTAGCCTCTTGATGCCGAACCGCCGCCTTGAACAAAGAACGTTGCCGTACATCACCCAACCGTGAATCATAAGGACCCTTAGGGGAGTAGGCTTTGATACCAAAAATGAGGACTTAATAAGGCCTAGTTAGGGAAGTATAGTCAGTATAGTCCCCTACGCCCCTACCCTTGACCCTAAGCCCTAAAGCCTGAACCCTGAGCCCTACGCCCCTCCCCCCTACCCCCCTAAGCGTCCCTATGAGTAAATGACCCAAGCTTCAGGCCCCGGGCCAGCTGCGAGAGCTTGGAATATTCTGGCTGCGGTTCGCGATCCCCAGATGGGTAAGGTCACTTTTTGAGGTACCCTAGATAATAGGTGCCGGACTATGATAGGAACCCCCAAAAAGGAGCCATAATTTTGGTAGAGTACGGCACCTATTATTTCGGGTACCCTGAGTTTTGACAACCATCCAAGGGTAAAAGGAGGGATCCTTAATAAGGACCCTTAGGTATATACCCTTAATATAGCTATTCTATACCCATTATATAGCCCAGTATAGGATAGGGGTCCCCATTAAGGGTCCCTCCTTTTCCCCTTTGATCCGAGATAACCCCCAAAGCTGTTATCATAATTCCGCCCCCCTGTTTCATAAACCACATCGACTGCGGGGTGCTTTTGGTTGTTCACGATTCTCAGTTGTTCACGATTCGGAGCAGCCTGCACCTACATTCCGTTCCCACGAAACCGAAAAGTTTCTATCAAAAGGAACCATAGAGGAAAGGCCACACCCGTCTTTTGTCAACGCATGGTCGAAAAAAACTTGTCGGGATCGCTAGTCCACAAACCATGAACCTTCAAGCCCCCTTAGCACTGGAATACCTGCCTGTGCAAAACCATCTGGGGACCCCAGGCGATCTCGAGCGGCGCTGTGATCTCGACCGACGCTGCGATCTCGAGCGGCGCTGAGGCGACTTTGATTTCGCCTGCAGTTCTCCGCTGCACTTCTACACCCGAATTCGCAAACGCCAACTCTGAGCCCAAATTTTCTTGGCTTCAGCTTACTTGGCCTTGAAACCCTGGCCCCAAGCAGGCCGGCGGAGAAGCACGTGTTCACCCTTTTTTCACCAGGGACGGCAATGCACTAAGCCCTGAATACCCCAAACCATAAACCCTGAACCCTAAACCCTGAATCCCTTCACCAAAAGCCCGAAACGCCCAAAGCAAGGTCTGAAGAGTCGTCCAGGATCGGTTCATGGTTTGGGGTTTAGGGTTCAGGGTTCAGAGTGTCTTCTTGCGCAGTGGCTGCTAATCTATGCTAGGATGGTGCCACCTCACACCAGGGTTTGTGGTGGCGGCATATTGCGCCTCAAGCGACTTTCCTTAAGTTCTCTTAAACCCACCCGCTGTGATGATACCACAGGCAACCACCCAAACCATCTCCTGTTCGGGTTTAGGGCTTACGCCCTCAATTCCCACATTGAGCAGAGCAGACAGAAGCGCGTGGGGCACAGAAGAACCCTTTTTGACACTGGGCTTGCTGGCTGCCAGAATCACAGAAGAACCCTAAACCCTAAACCCTAAACCCTAACTCAGGAGGAGGGCCAGGGAGGCCAGGGCCCACCAGGAGGGGGGGCGGCCTGGAATCGGCCGGCTTTTCGGACCTTTCTGGGACCTCTTTTGAGGGTGGGAAGATGCCAAACGCCCGCGCCGGATTTTGGCTATGTGCTTGTTCCCATCAAGAAGAGAATCAAGGAATTTTAGTGGCTGGCCGGCGGCGAGGCCGAGCCCTTGACAGCCCAGATGGGGCTGCATTCGACCAATCTCCATAGGCTACGCATTGTTGTTTTGCCCAATAAGGTGGAAAGGCTTCCGGGCATCTTCGATGTCTGGGCTCCCAGTTATGGGTGGGAACAGCCCAAGGGGGGCGGGTGGGAATGTAGGGTTTAGGGTTTAGGAGGGTTCAGGGTTTAGGGCTGTTTCGATTTAGGGCTTAGGGTGCAGGGCTTAGGGCTTGTATTAGGTTTAGGGGCTTGGGGTTTCACGATTTATATAAGGTTTAGAGTGGCCGGTGCTCTTCTTAGTTGAGGACAGAACTCGAAAAAGCGGTCTTTTCCGTGTCTCTTCTGGCCTGGCCCAAAACCCTGCCAGTACGTTTTAGTCTCTTGTTGGGCTTAGGATACCTGCACGGCTCACCCACTCGGCAACAAAGTAGAATTGTGGAGAGGTGTGTGTAACTCGGCGTTGCTCTTTCGGGGAACGCGGCCACAGGCAACTGGAGGTTAGAAGCTAGAGGTACTTACAACTACAGTTATCCTACTTAGTCCCCTGACTTTGGGTACATCACTCTGTATCAAAATCACAGCCCGTGCACCCCCAAACCTGGGTGGTCCAGCGTTGCAACCGTAGCTATCTAGAAGCACCTAAACAAAAACCATTTGAGCAATCCTATGATGGCCTCGTCAGGTACGCATGGTGAGCTAACGAAGACTGGATATACGACCAACAATAACAAGTTTATGTTTGAGTGCTGTCTTGGTAATCTGAAACACTTGTCTTCATTTTGGCTCCTGAAGATAGCGTGACTGCAAGAACCCGACCGATGGTGTTATTGTGCTTATGGTTGCTGTTGCTCTGGTTCTCATGACCACAGTCACGTTTACTAGCCATATCCACTTTTCTATTGTCCCGGAACCCTAATCCCTTTACCCCTCATGAACCGTCGACCCGAAACCGAGCCTACACCCTAAAACCCTCAAAGCGCAAACCTCTGAACCCTAAACCCTGAGCCACTTGAAGGATCATGGGACTTGGTAAGTAAGGCTATAAGTACCTTAATTGGGGTTATAAGTATAGTTACCCTAATTATAACCCTAGCTACTAAGTCCCATGATCCTTTAAGTAGACCCTATAAACCCCTGTTATAATAGAACCCTATAGATCCCCTTTAAAGGAGCCCTTTAAGGAACCCTAGTTACTAAGTCCCATGATCCTTTAAGCAATGATGCCTCCTTCTCATCAGGACTGCGGCTCTGCCCACGCCGGCCTTGTCGATGCCGGATTTGGGGTTTCGGCGCTCTCGGACAAACCAGGCGAGGCATATGGTTCGGAGTCTGACGATGTGGGGGCTGTTCTAAATTATGGTCCCTTTTGGGGTACCCTATATAATAAGGACTATACTACTATAGGGCCCAAAAAGGGACCATAATTTAGAACAGCCCCCATGTGAGACATGCTAAAGGGCGATTTGGGGTTTAGGGTTTAGGGACGCAAAGGCGGGAGGACGCAGGAGAATTAGCCTCTTATGCAGAGAAGAGGTGACAACCCTCACCTTCTGGTGCTTCTGGTGCTCGAGGGAGAGTGGAGGAGGGAATATAGGTAATATAGGGACTGCTTTAGGGGAGATTATAGAAGGAATACTAGAGGGATCCACTCTCCCGCTCCCGCTTCAGCACAGGGCGCCGAATCGCACAAAACGTCCCCTTTTGCTGCAATCAACCCTTCCTTCGAGATGGATCCCGAAAACTTTTGGTAACAGTAGTACCAGCTGTAACAGTAGTAACGGTAGTAGAAGTGAAGTAGTAGAAGTAGCAGAAGTAGTTAGAGCATTGGCCTGAGAGTCAGAGAAAGTGACACAAGCTTCCCTTGGCTCGTTTTCCGAGCCTGCCGGCTTCGTGACATGGTGCTAGGAGGTACTTAAAGGATCATGGGACATAGTAACTAGGGTTTATAATTAGGGTAACTATACTTATAACCCCACTTAAGGTACTTCTAACCTTACTTACTAAGTCCCACGACCCTCCAAGTAGGCTTCTCCAAACAAGCTGTAAGCTTATAGACTCAACTTGGACATGAACTTATCACCCTGAAGCCACTGCAGAAACAGCTTGTTTGCGAAGCCCGTATAGGAAAATATTAACACTGCCTAGATGTTCAAACCGATAACCATCATCAGATCGATAGTCAAGGCTTGCCTACCAAGACCCCTAAGGTACCCTTTGTAGTACCCTGCTTATACTACGACTTCTAATAGCCCATATAGTATCCCTAAACCTCGGCTGCGCCTCTGTCCCGCCGCGGGCTGCTGTCCTGTTGCAGGGTTTAGCGATTGCAATTTTGACTTCTGGGGCTTCTTAGTTTTGGAGGTTGCTTACTTGCGAAAGCTCTCTGGCTTAATAGGGCTTGTCGGTGAACTTAAAGGATCATTGCCCAATGGTTTCGCCATTGACCGCGCGATCAAGAGTGTAAAATCTCGGATCCGAAGTAGACAAAATATCCTGAGCCCCGTAACTGCCCAGGAGTTGCAGGCTAGCAGGCTTCCACCCAAAACCTGGGCGGGAAATCCAAAGACTTGCTACGTTGTGCAACCCATTTTAAATCACGTCTGGAAGGACCCAAAGCGGCAAAAACAGTGATGATGATGATGATGATGTCAACAATTGCTATAATGATGACGATGAAAAAAAAGCAATTAGCAAATATGATCGTCACTAAGACTCCATGTACCAAGGTTGTATACCCATTGGCCCTAAAGCTCCTTTACAGGAACCGGCTCACGGCCCACTTTTCTACCAAAGATGGATACCCTATGGTAAATCCTGTGAAACTCTAAGGCAAAAGACGCTGTCAAACCCTTATGCAACACTGGAGCCCCTCATAAAACCCTCCAAAACCTTGCAAGACCTTCAAGCAACCGTTAAAAGAACCCTGAACCCTAAGGGCACAGGGAAATTTGGGGTGATAAACCACAGCCTCCGCTGGGCCAGACTTCGGCACGAGGGGAGCCGTACTTTGGCTATCCTGAGCCGCCCGGTTTAGGGCGTTCAGGCGTGGTGACTAGGGAGCCGGAGAGCCCTGAACTCCGAAGCCCAAGCCCCAATCCCAGAGTCCTAGACGCTTGCAGCCCTAATCCCAAGCCGAAGCCCCAAACTGACATAACCTGAAGAGACGATCTAAAGCCCTCAACAGCCGCAGCGCATCCCAATGCAAGAGCCAGGGCCCGGTACTGGCCATACAGCAATGATAAGAAGGGTATAGAAATCAATGCGCAACGGCAAACACGACCACGATGAGACGACAGAATCCTCTTATGAGAGCCCAGATTCATAAGTTACACACCAGTTGCCCAAGAAGAAGCCGTCGTCAACAAGACGACATGGAGGCTCCTACAGTATCAACCCTACACAAAGGTCCTATGAGACTCCCTCAAGGAGGACCCGGAAGTAAGCCTCGACTCAAGGACCCCATGCTTAAAGGATCATGGGACTTAGTAACTAGGGTTGTACTTTAAAGGGCTCCTTTAAAGGGATCTATAATGGTTCCTTAAAGGGATCTATAGGGTTTAGGGTTTAGGGTCTACTTAAAGGATCATGGGACTTAGTAACTAGGCTTATAATTAGGGTAACTATACTTATAACCCAAATTAAGGTACTTATAACCTTACTTACTAAGTCCCATGATCCTCCAAGTGAGCCCCCATGGATAACAACTCAATTAACATAGGGAACTTAATAATTAGAAAAGGGTTTTGGGGCCCATGATACTACAATTACATGGAATCCCCAAAATAGTGTATGGGGGTTTGGGCCCATTCTACTACAATAATAGTGAGGAACCACCAGAATAGTATAGGTAATTATTCAAGCCCCTATAGTACGCCGAAAATCAAAACCTAGACCACCGGGACCCCCTTGCCACATAAGCCTAAACCCCAAACCGCTGAGCGCACTACCCAGCCGCCAAGTTTCCTGCGAGCGAACTTGATTGAGAAACCTTGGGCCTTTATTAGGGCTCCTTATATGAATCCTACTATTTCGGGTGTTATCGGCCCAGCGTTTCTTAATCAGGCTCCTACATTAGTACTACTGTTATGACAGCTCAAGCCTTGGGCTGGTATAGTTTAGGTCTGGAAGGTGTTCTAAGATGGCGGTTTACAGTGAACCCCAGAAAGTGGGAACATGGGTTTAGGAGGACTGGTGCCAGGATC